AAGAGAGAGAAATGTTGTCAGTTAAGGTGTCATGCCTCTCTGAATTCTCCATATTATTGTGAAAGCCCTGATTTTGGTGCTGTGCTGAAGCCTGCAGTCACAGAGTGTGGGGTAGACAGGAGAGACTGACACTAACAATAATTAGTGATGGCACCATATATGGAATAACCTTTGTATGCTAGGAGTTTTTATAGGTACATCTAAACACATCAGACACAATTCTAATTCTCATTCCAACTTCCAGAAGTAAGTATTGCCACCATATTCCAGATGCAGACACAGACAAGGTAGTGATGGAGCCAGAGTTTCAGTTCAGGTCTGAAACTACAAGGTGTTTTCTTTCTACTCCACAGTATTGTCTTTTCCCTTAGGAGCTCAATGTGGAGATTCTAGAAGAGGCTGTACAGGGCAGGAATGGAGGGCCCAGAGGGACACAGTAGAGTTCTGGAACTGGTCCTAGCCTAGAGGGGACATGATGATTTCTGGGATGAAGGAGAAAGGTTTTACTCTGGCCTTGCTCTGCCTTCTCTCTGCTTAGTCAACGACTCTGTTGACTAAAGGCTTTCACATTATTTTTCTCCATTTCTCTGTAACTTCCTACCAGGCCTCTAAAGTCCCAGCTACTGCCATTTAGTGACTGTTTACAGAGGAAAAAAGGATCAACCTCTAAGCCCAAAGGGCCTTATCCTTTCTGACAAGCTATCTGTAAGGAATTGCTGAGCTTAGGATGGCATCTCTTTGGCACAGGGCACAGGGTAGGCTTCTTCCTGAGAAGTATTTTTTTAAAAATATATTTTATTGATTTTTTACAGAGAGGAAGGGAGAGGGATAGTTAGAAACATCGATGAGAGAGAAACATCGATCAGCTGCCTCCGGCACACCCCCTACTAGGGATGTGTCTGCAACCAAGGTACATGCCCTTGACTGGAATCAAACCTGGGACCTTTCAGTCTGTAGGCCGACGCTCTATCCACTGAGCCAAACCGGTTAGGGCCCGAGAAGTATTTTTATTTGAATTGAATAATTTTGGATCAGTAGCAAGAGCAAGACACTGAAAATTAGAAAACATGATTTCCAGTCCAAGTGATTGACTAGGTTACCTTGGGCAAGTTACTTGTCTCTTGCAAATTTACTTGGCATAAGGTAGGGACTATGTTTTGCTCATCCCTGTATCCCTCATATCTGACACATGGCCTGACTGAATAAGTATCCTAAATAAATTTATTGTGGAGTAAGTTAATCTTCTCCTCTGTTACATGAGGGAATTGGATCTTTATTTTAAATTTATTTTTTATTATTATTTTAAAATATGTTTTTATTGATTTTTAGAGAGAGAGAGAAAAGGAGAGGGATGGAGAGATAGAAATGTCGATGAGAGAGACACATCATCCATCAGCTGCCTCCTACATGCACCCCCACTGGGGATTGAGCCTGCAACCCAGGCATGTGCCCTGACTGGGAATCAAACCCACCACCTCTTTGTTCCTGGGTCGGATGCTCAGCCACTGAGCCAAGCCGGCCGGGCTAAATTTATTTATTTTTAAATTTTATTTATTTTTAATTTTGTTAATCTTTATTGTTGAAAGTATTATGTATGTCCCCCTTTTCCCCTCCATCAGCCCCTTCTAGCTTCCCCTGCTCCCCCCCCAGCACCCTATTATTGCTATATCCAAGGGTTATGCAATATATGCATACAAGTTCTTTGGTTGATCTCTTCCCATCCACTCCTCCCTTTCCCACTTCCCTCTAAGAATCGACATTCTTCTATGCTTCTATGTCTGTATATCTATTTTGTTCAACAGTTTATTTTTTTTCATTAGATTCCACATATGAGTGAGATCATGTGATCCTTGTCTTTCTCTGACTGGCTTATTTAGCTTAGCATAATAGATTGGAGTGAGGCCCTAGCCGGTTTGGCTCAGTGGATAGAGCATTGGCCTGTGGACTCAAGGGTCCTGGGTTCGATTGTGGTCAAGGGCACATGCCAAAGTTGCGGGCCTGATCCCCAGTGTGGGGTGTGCAGGAGGCAGCCGTTCAACGATTCTCTCTCATCATTGATGTTTCTCTCTCTCCCTCTCCCTTCCTCTCTGAAATCGATAAAAATATATTTAAAAAAATAGATTGGGGTGAGTTTTGAAATTGGGATGAGGTGAAATTTAAGTATACAGTGGAACCTAATTTCTTGAATGTCTCCCATCTCAAACAGTTTGCTTCTCAACCTGACAACCCTTTCATGCTCATATCTATGATGAGTCACACATCTCCCAGGTGACAAACAAATGAGAGAATGCACAAATATGAGTCAGTTTGCCACTGTTAAAATCTCAGGATATTGTGCTGTGAACGACTTAAGTTTGAGAAATGAGGTTCCACTGTACATGGTAAGTATACATACTTGGCAAGTATCTCTAGTACCTTAAGAAAACAAAGGGGTTATAACAGCCGTTACTATTCATTGGGCACTTCATTTATGGAGTAATAAATAAATAACATTTAAAAGCCACTTTCATAGTTTTAATTATTATCTGTTCATTGACAACTCTAAAATTTGTGTTTCTAGTTCAAACTTCTCTGAACTTTAGAGTTGTATATGCAATCTCTTAATTAACATTTTGGATGCCTAATTGGCATTTTAAATTTAACAAGTTCACACTTACATTCAATTTGTCAATAAAGCCTATTGGTTCTATCTTTAAAACATATCCGAAACTCAGACACTTTTCATAGCCTCTGCTCCTAACACCTTGTTCTAAGCTATCATTGTCTCAGATCATAACCTGTTTGAGTTTATTTTTTTAAATTGAGTTCAGAGGTGAAGGGAGAGGGAGAAAGAGATAGAAACATCAATGATGAGAGAGAATAATTGATTGGCTGCCTCCTGCACACCCCCTACTGGGGCTTGAGCACACAACCCATGCATGTGCCCTGACCTGGAATAGAACTGTGACCTCCTGGTTCATAGGTTGACATTCAACCACTAAGCCACGGCGACCTGGCTCAGATCATAGCCTCTTAATCAGTTTCCTGCTTTTGCCCTTGCCTGCCTATAGTTTGTCCTAATAGAGCAGCCAGAGTGATCCTTTCAAAATGTAAATGCAATCATATAGCTCTTCTGTTCAAATTGTTTAGTGGCTCCCCATATCTCTCAGAGAAAAAGACAAAGTCCTTAGAGTAACTTGGCTCCCAGTTACCTAGTCTATCTTCATCTCACCCTGCCCCATTGCTTGCTCACTATTCTTTGAATAAGATGTACTCTTGCCTCAAGGTCTTTGCACTAGTTTTTCCCTTTCTTCTAACATTCTGTGTGGCTCATTATCTTACTTCAGATCTTTTGGTCAAATGTCATCTTCTCAATGGCCCCCTTCAATCATTCTATTTAAAAATAGCAACCCCTTCCCCATAGCACACCTCAAGCTGTATTTTCTACTTTATTTTTCTTCATAGCATTTGTCACCCTCGGACTTATTTACTTGTCAGGCCCTCTACTTTGTCCCCCACTCCCTGTTAGTTCCATAAGAGCAGTGATTTTGTTCATTGTTGAATCCTCAATGCCTAGAATACTAACTGACACATAGTATGTGCTTAGTAAATATTTGTTGAATGTAATATTTTGGGCCAGATATACTGCTAGATTATATATATATATATATATATATATATATATATATATATATATATATATACACACACACACACACATATATACACTAGGGGCCTGGTGCACGAAATTCGTGCACTGGGTGGTGGTGGTGGGGGGCGGGGGGGAGTGTCCCTCAGCCCAGCCTGCCCCCTCTCACATACTGGGAGCCCTCAGGCATTGACCCCCATCACCCTCCAATCGCAGGATCGGCCCCTTGCCCAGGCCTGACGCCTCCGCCAGAGGTGTCAGGCTTGGACAGGGGACCCCCATCTCCCCCCGATCACTGGCTCTGACCCCCGCCCAGGCCTGATGCCTCTGGCCCAGGAATCATGCCTGGGCAGGGGACCCCCATCTCCCTCTGATCGCTTGCTCCACCCCCCGCCCAAGCCTGACGCCTCTGACCCAGGCTTCAGGCCTGGGCAAGGAGACCATCATATCCCCCCAATCCCCGGCTCCGCCCCCCACCCAGGCCTGATGCCTCGGCCAGAGGAGTTGACCCTCATCACCCTCCGATCACCAATCACCGCATCGGCCCCTTGACCAGGCCTGAGGCCTCCGGCAGAGGTGTCAGGCCTGGGCAGGGGACCCCCAGCTCCCCGCGGTTGCAGGCTCCGCCCCTGCCCAGGCCTAACGCCTCTGGCTGAGGCGTCTGGCCTGGGCAGCGGGGACCCGCAGCTGCAGCGGCCCCGCGATCGTGGGCTTCGCTTTAGGCCCAGGCAAGGGACCCCTAGCTCCTGGGACTGCCAGCCTCGACCGTGCCCAGCTCCCATCGCTGGCTCCACCCCTACTTCCTGCTATCACTGGCCAGGGTGGAAAAGGCACCTGATTCTCCGATCATGGCTGGGGGGCAGGGCAAAGGCGGCCCCGGGGCCGCCTTTGCCCTGCCCCCGAGCTCTTAGCTCCCTCCTGGGTTTCCGATCACTGTCAGTGGCAGGGGGCTTCTTCCTGCTTTCCCTTTCGCCTCCCTGCATTGTGCCTACATATGCAAATTAACCGCCATCTTGTTGGCAGTTAACTGCCAATCTTAGTTGGCAGTTAATTTGCATATAGCCCTGATTAGCCAATGAAAAGGGTAGCGCCGTACGCCAATTACCATTTTTCTCTTTTATTAGTGTAGATTTGTTGTTTTCTTTACAACCCTGTAAGATATCACTATTATTTTACCAGTGAGGAAAGTGATTTGCCCAAGATTGAGTGGCTAGAATCTGTTTCATTAAATACATTGCCAAGCAAGCCCAAATAAAATATTATAGAATGACAGAGTCTAAATATTATTGCTTTGCTGCTGAATAGAGGCAGACATACCAGAAGAAAGGCAAAATCTTAGTGTTCTGAACACATTGTTCATTTAATCCCATAGGAACATACTGACATTTGTGAGGTTACTGCAGCTGGAAATCTAAAACACCTGGAACAAAGCCTTTGGGTGAGATCTTCCTGTGCACCACTTGATATACCTTTGGTTTGTATACACAGAAAATCAGAAGAGTTTGGTGATTATTTGGAAATTTTTCTCTCCCACTCTCCAGGAAAGACCTTCTTTCCCTAGTTTGGAATAACATTGGGTTGCTTTGGGCTAATGGCTTCATATCACTTTTCTTTCCTGAGGTATAATGTCAGCCAAGGTCAGTGTATAAGCCATCTCCAGGGTATACTTATTGTGACTTTCTCTGTGGTATGGTGATTGGGAAGGTCTAGGTCAGAGCTGTTCCCAAAGTCAAATGAGGTTGGAGTTAGAGATATCTTCTGGGTAAAATGAGGCTGGGTTCAAATGCCATCCTAAAGGTATGCCATTCTGTCAGAGAGAAGGTAAGGGAGACTAAGATCAGGATCCAACCCCTCAGCTGGCCGGGATATAGTATATCTCTCTCCTAAGTCCCAGGTACCAATAACTTTTCTCCATTTTTTAAAATTGTTGTAAAAAATATATGACATAAAATTTGCCATCATAACTCATTTCTAAGCATAGATTTCAGTAGTATGTATTAAATAATTTTTTTTTATATATTTTATTGATTTTTCACAGAGAGGAAGAGAGAGAGATAGAAAGTTAGAAACATCGATGAGAGAGAAACATCGATCAGCTGCCTCCTGCACACCCCCTACTGGGGATGTGCCCGCAACCCAGGTACATGCCCTTGACCGGAATCGAACCTGGGACCTTTCAGTCCGCAGGCCGACGCTCTATCCACTGAGCCAAACCGGTTTCGGCAGTAGTATGTATTAAATAATTTGTAATGTTGTGCAACCATTTCCACCACCATCCATCTCCATAACTCTTTTCATTTTATAAAATTGAAACTCTATACCCATTTATTTATTTTTAAATACATTTTATTGATTTCAGAGAGGAAGAGAGAGATGGAAACATCAATGATGAGAGAGAATCATTGATCGGCTGCCTCCTGAACGCCCCCTACTGGGGATCGAGCCCACATCTCTGGCATGTGCCCTTGACCGAAATCGAACCCAGGACCCTTTAGTCCACAGGCTGACGCTCTGTCCACTGAGCCAAACCAGCTAGGACTCTATACCCCTTTAGACAATCCCCTATTTCCTTTTTTCCCAGTCCCTGGCAACCACCATTCTACTTTCTGTCTCTATGATTTTGACTACTCTAAAACCCAGGTACCAGTAACTTTGGAGTGAAACACCTGGTGAAGCCCTGGGCTTATAAGAGACCCAGACAGAGGAAGCAGAAGCAGTTATAAGTAATACGACTGAAGTAGAAGAGGAAGAGGTCAAATAAGGTCATTCTGTGATGACATATTCAGATAATAGCGAATAGTGAACTTTGGATCAGTGTGGTCCTGAGGGTACAACCAGACTGGGAAAAGAGCTGTTCCCAGGGAATAATAAAAATAAAAAAAGGACAAGAACTTTCCCCAGGGTAAGATAAGCCTGAGGGGAAAGTGTATGGGGGTGACAACACCATTCCCAGGGTGAGAGAAAGAAAATAGCATGTTTGAACAGTCACTTGTAGCAAGGGAAACATAATAAGAGGAAAGAATTTTAGGACAACATGTTTAGGAGATGAGGCTAGGGAAACAGTAAATGCCTGATTATAGAGAGTCTCGTGTGTCATGTTAAGGATTTGAGACTTTATTCTTTGGGCAATGCAGAGCCACTGAAAAGTTTTAAATAAGGGATAGACAGACAGAAGAAATTTGCTTCTGGTCTTATGTCCTGTGTTCCCAGGGGAGCTGAGGTCAGGAAAAGCTAGAAGAGAGTATGGTAGCCTAGGAACTCAAGGCAGATATTTGCCAAAGCCACAAGTATCTGGCACATCAGTCTGGGTAGAGCCGCCTGAGCAGTGGTAGAGCCTGACCTCAGTGAAATCACATAGAGTTTCCTGGACCTTGTCAAAAACTAAGAACCGTGGTGGTTGCCCAGCATTGCGAATGTAATTAATGCCACTGAATTATTTATTTTAAAATGGTTAATTTTGTGAATTTTATCTCAATTAAACAAGCTTAAAAACAAAATCAAACAGCCCTAACCGGTTTGGCTCAGTGGATAGAACATCGGCCTGCGGACTCAAGGGTCCCAGGTTCGATTCCGGTCAAGGGCATGTACCTTGGTTACGGGCACATCCCCAGGGGAGTGTGCAGGAGGCAGCTGATCGATGTTTCTAACTCTCTATCCCTCTCCCTTCCTCTCTGTAAAAAATCAATAAAATATATTTAAAAAACAAAAAAAACAAAAAAAAACACCCCAAATCAAACAAAAACTAAGAACCTTGTTCTCCCTCAGTTTTTGTAGGACTTGGTCTGGGGTTTTGTTATTGCCCTTCTTCTGGAAGGGCTTGACTTATCAGTGGTGGCATTGGGAAGTCAAGGATGGGACTATGCATAGCAGCAGGTATGTGAGCCTAAAGCTCTTTCCTTGTCTATCCCGGGCATGTACCCTTGACTGGAATTGAACCTGGAACCCATCAGTCTGCAGGCCGTGCTCTATGCACTGAGCCAGTTTGACTAGGGCTCAAGTTGCTTCTTGCTGTTGGTTACCAGAGTCCTCTTTCCCAACAAGTCAATCTAACTATGGCCCTTCTCTTGCTTTCCCATTACTTACAGAATCTGGTGTTCATGGCATTCCATGATCTGGCTTCTGCACATTATCTTTTCAGCAAATCTCTGTTTGTTTTTATTCTATCTTTTATTGAATTAATTGGGGCAACATCCTATCTAATAAAAGAGAACCATGGTAATTGGCGTACGACTGCTACCCTTCCCATTGGCTAATCAGGGCAATATGCAAATTAACTGCCAGCCAAGATGGCGGCCGGCAGCCAGGCAGCTGAAAGTGAACATGAGGCTTGCTTGCTTCAGTGACGGAGGACTCCAACGTTCCCCGCCTGCCGCTGCAGGCCTCTGAGCTGCAACTCTAAGCAACTATGTTACAAATATAGAAGCTAAACAAAACCCCAGAAACCTGCTTTAGTCCGGCCAGGCTTCAGCCAGCAGGATCACAACATTGTTTCAAATACAGAAGGCAAACAAAGGCCAGAAACCTGCTTTCAGCAGCAGAGGCGAAAGAGCTGGACCCAAGCCTCAAAGCTAAAGCTGGCCCAGAATAAAAAAAAAAGAAAAAAAGGAGCAGTTGGGAGCTTCAGTCACTTGGCAGTCTGAAAACAGCCCTCAGCCCCTCACCCAGACTGGCCAGGCACCCCAGTGGGGACCCCCACCCTGAAGGGTGTGTGACTAGCTGCAAACAGCCATCATCCCCTCACCCAGGCTGGCCAGGCACACCAGTGGGGACCCCCACCCTGATCCAGGACACCCTTCAGGGCAAACCAGCCAGCCCTACCAAAGCACCAGGCCTCTACCCTATATAGTAAAAGGGTAATATGCCTCCCAGCACCGGGATCAGCGGAGCCGAGAGGCCTCCCGGCACCGGGATCAGTGTGACAGGGGGCAGCGCCCAAACCCCCTGATTGCCCTGCAGCTCTGTGTGTGACAGGGGGCGGGGCCACAACCTCCCTATCCGCCCTGCTCTGTTTGTGACAGGGGAAGGCGCCCCAACCCCCTGATCAGCCCTGCTCTGTGCCTGATAGGGGGAGCTCCCCAACCCCATGATTGCCCTGCGGCTCTGTGTGTGACAGGGTGCGGTGCCCCAAAACCCTGATCAGCCCTGCTCTGTGGGTGATAGAAGGCAGCGCCCCAACCCCCACCCCACGGGCCCTGCTCTGTGTGTGATGGGGTAGAGCCATAACCTCCCCATCAGCCCTGCCCTGAGTGTGACAGTGGTGGCGCCCCAACCCCCTGATCCGCCCTGCTCTGTGGGTGACGAGGTAGAGCCATAACCTCCCCATCGGCCCTGCCCTGAGTGTGAGAGTGGCAGTGCCCTAAACCCCCTGATCGGCCCTGCTCTGTGGGTGATAGAAGGCAGCGCCCCAACACCCACCCCATGGGCCCTGCTCTGTGTGTGATGGGGTAGAGCCATAACCTCCCCATCGGCCCTGCCCTGAGTGTGACAGTGGCCGCAGCCCAACCCCTGATCCGCCCTGCTCTGTATGTGACAGGGGGCGGTGCCCCAACCCCTCTATCGGCCCTGCTCTGTGTGTGACAGGGGGGAGCTCCCCAACCCCCTGATGGGCCCTGCTCTGTGCGTGACAGGGGGCGGTGCCCCAACCCCCCAATTGGCCCTACCCTGAGCGTGACTGTGGGTGGCATCACAACCTCCCAATCCACCCTGCTCTGTGCATGACAGGGGGCGGTGCCCCAACTCCCCAATTGGCCCTGCTCTGAGCGCGACCAGGGGCTGCACCTAGGGATTGGGCCTGCCCTCTGCCACCTGGGAGCAGGCCTAAGCCAGCAGGTCGTTATCTCCCAAGGGGTCCCAGACTGCGAGAGGGCACAGGCCGGGCTGAGGGACCTTCCCCCCCCCCCCCCCCGAGTGCACAAATTTTTGTGCACCGGCACTCTAGTTGATTAATAAAATTATATAGGTTTCAGTTGTACAGTCCTACAATACATCATCTGTATATTGTATTGTGTGTTCACCACCCTAAGTCAAGTCTCCTTCCATCACCATTTATCCCCTAAACCCCTTTCTGCTCTCTCTCTCTCTCTCTCTCTCTCTCTGTCTCTCTGTTTTTTTTTTTGTTTGTTTGTTTTTTGTTTTTTTTTTAATATATTTTATTGATTTTTTACAGAGAGGAAGGGAGAGAGATAGAGAGCTAGAAACATCGATGAGAGAGAGAAACATCGATCAGCTGCCTCCTGCACATCTCCCACTGGGGATGTGCCCGCAACCAAGGTACATGCCCTTGACCGGAATCGAACCTGGGACCTTTCAGTCCGCTGGCTGACGCTCTATCCACTGAGCCAAACCGGTTTCGGCTCTCTGTTTTGTTTTTATTCATGCTTTCCATTTAGCTTAGAATGTCTTCCTACCTTTTCTAGCTGATAAACTTCTTATCCTTCAATACTGAGCTCTCCAATATCACCATTTTTTTGAAGCCTTCTCTCGTCTTCTTGCCCATAGGTAGGCA